TCAACCCGACCCCCTGAGCGTTACCCCCCTCCATAGGCCAGAACCTCTGTGCCCATGTGCCCAGGACCACGGTTCCCACCCTCCCCAACCCATGGCTCTCGGGCAGGGCCTCCCCCTCCATCATCCTGAGCCCCTGAGCGTTACCCCCCTCCATAGGCCAGAACCTCTGTGCCCATGTGCCCAGGACCACGGTTCCCACCCTCCCCAACCCATGGCACTCAGGCAGACCCTCTCCCTCCATCATCCTGAGCCCCTGAACTCTACCGCTCTCCATAGGCCACAACCTCTGTGCCCATGTGCCTAGGACCACAGTTCCAACCCTCCCCAACCCATGGTGCTCTCGGGCAGAACCCCCTCCCATCATCCTGAGCCCCTGAGCTCTACCGCTCTCCAGAATTCACAATACATTTGAATAAATCGGAGCCTGATTTTCAAAGGGGATGTTTGGGGAGGGCAGCCAAGCCGAGTGCCCCCAAAGCGAGCCTGGGCGCTTTTCAGAGGAAGAAAAGGTTATGCTGCCCGTTGGCATCTATCTTGGAAATTGCTTGTGACGTGGAATTGTCCCAAACACAGATCGCTTTGGGCAAGCTTTGGCAGGAAGGGTGCAGTACCCAAGTGGCTGGATCTCAAAATAGCAAGATTTACAACAGCCGATCCAGCCGTTCCGAAGCAACTGGGGGGCAGCGGAATCTGCAGTGAGAGAAATAAATATTTTTTTTCCCCGAGGTCCATCCTGAAGAAATAAAGGCCTGGCTTGTATTGTCCGAGGTTTGCAGGACGGACCGCGATTGGGGCGGGTTAAACGCTTCGGGATGAGATATTGAAAGCGCTGACAATTCTTCAAGGAACGTGCAGCTTATTTCCCCCCTTGCTAGATTTACCTATTGATGGAATATAAGGGTTAAAACGCAATGTGAATTTAAAATCTCAGCTGTGTAATACGGCATAGGACGGCAGGGCGATAAATTGAAAGGCGAATAGGATTGAAAAAGTGGTTAAATTCTAAAAATCTTGGGAAAATTGAAGAAAGCTGTTGTTGTGGGGGTATTGAGGCTCAGAATGAAATACGTGTTAAGGAGATCTGGGGGGGCCTTGTCAGATTTCTTAAATGAGAAAATCCCTCAGCTCCAAATCCAAATTATACAGGAGAAGGTTATCTTCTCTCAGCTTTTATAATATCTTAGAAGTTAACACTTTTACAGGCAATGGGTTGATCTTATGGACCCCCCCCCAAAAAAAACCGGGGAGAAAACAGGGCTGGAAAAGAAGGGAAGAATGTCACCCGTTTTGGCTTGTGGTGTTATTTTTTGCTTTTATTTTTCTGCTGTTCTTGCCTGTGTTTAATGGTTTCTTTCATTTGACTGATTCTTTCCCATTTTTGAACAAACAAACATGGGTTGAGGGCCCTAAAGTGACTTATTAATTTAAAATAAAACCCTTGGTACAATGTGAGTTTTTGGATGAACCTGAGCTTACGATCCTCTCCCTGATTCCGAGACTTAGTGCTAGGATATGTAAAAAAGATTTCTAGTCTTGGCTGAAGACATTTGGCTTGAAATAATGGCATTGATGCACCCACAAGCTCTAATTCAGTGTTTCTCAACCTTGGCCAGTTGAAGATGGGTGGACTTCAACTCCCAGAGTTAGGGTTGAAGTTGCTGGCTGGGGAACTCTGGGAGTTGAAGTCCACCCATCTTCAACCGGCCATGGTTGAGAAACACTGCTCCAGTTGGTCAACACTCCCTGGCAGGTCTCCTTGGAGACTTCTGGAGATAGAAAATGGCAGGGCAAGATGAACATTAATAACATTATGAGAACCATAATAGTAGAAATGTGAGTTTCTTTGTTTTAGGTTTGGGAAAGAGGAAAGAATTCTTAAGATATAGATCACGAGATTACTTTGGTTGACCTTGGTATAGTTATTTCATCTTCTGGTGGGAGAAAGAAAGTTGAAGGCATGTGGACAATGATGGCCTACAGATCTCCAGATGTAATTAAGCCCTTACTTTGCTGAACCGTAGTTTATTGAACAAAGTACAGTTGTCTGGCTTTGCGAAAGATACTAAGCCCAAATCAAGCAAACCAACATCATTGTTTTGTATAAAATATGTACTTGTCTAGGTGTTAATGCCTACAAAAGCCTTGTTTGGTCTTACCTCAGGGTATTTTAGAAAGCCCCTGAACATTTGTGCTCGGGTTTCTCCAGAAATGCTTTTTACCACTATAGACTGTGTATTAGCAAAGGTAAGTAGCTAATATAATTTGCCATGGTGGAACATATTTGTAGGTCAGGGTGGAATTATTGGGTTCTTGGTGTTCTTGAGTTTGTCTTCTGCAGATGTTTCAGGCCTGGTCCTGAAAAAGAGAAACAAGCATAGAGAACACCGAGAACCAAACAGATGTAATTTGTGGTTATTTTAAACTTGTAAAGAGCTTTGAGATGCTTCTTAAAAAGTGGGTGTCATCATATCCTTCCCCACTTTTCTCTTATACGGACTTCCGCTTTTCTCCATCCTCTTAAAATAAAGTTAGACACATAGGGAGCTTAACTGTTGCACCCAACCTATACCTCCCTCCCTACATATGTATTTGTATTATTATTATTTATATATGTCTTTGGTTTTATTGGATTTTATACTATTTTTATTGTATTTGGATTATGCAAGTGGCCAAGATTGAGAAACACTGAATTCGAGCCTGTAGGTGCATCATAAACGCCTATTTTAATTAATATTTATTTGCTGCTTTTATTGTAAACCGCCCAGGGTCACTTTCTTATGAGACGGGCGGTGTCCAAATTTGAAATATAAATAAATAAATATATTAGAATCTACTTTTTGTTTGGACACACCCAGCTTTCTGGTGCACATCGATTATTTATGGATTTGTCTTTCCCTTTCCCTTCTCCATGGCTTTTCCCAGGATGGTCAATTTTTGTCCACAATGTGGACAGAAGGTAGAGGAACTGTTCCACTTCTGTCCTGCCTGCGGAGGCCGGCTTCCCGTTCAAGAAGAAGAGCCGATGCAGATCACTCCGTCTCCTTCTCTGAGAGGTACGTGAAATTCGTCAAACGTGGCTCGTTGCAGACGGAGAAGTCTCGCTGATCTGGAAGCTGAAGAAAATAACCTTGTGGCTAAAACGGGAGAAGGCTTTTGCTCCTGGTTTCTACCACTTGTTGCTGGTGTAATGAAAGTGTGTAAATCAGCAGGATTCTTCTGTCTGACCTTAGCGGTTGTAAGTTCCTACTGAGCAGAACTGAATCGCAGGAGTGTACTACAGCTATATTCCTATACTTTGAGCTGTGGTTTATTGAGTAAACCACCATCAGCTAGGCTCACACAACTTCTTAAGCTGTAAACCATGGTTTTCAGGCCACAAGGGCTGGGTTCACAGGTAACAATAAGCCCCAAAGACGTGAACCACAAGTTGGGTTGTCAGCCTGGCCATGATGTCTGCTGCGGATGTAAAAAAACAAAAATCTGAAGGACCATTTCTAGACCAGAGCGCAGTTTCAGAGGGAGGATTAGAAGAGCCAAAGAGGGTAGAGTTTAAGCAGAAGTTAAATTTTGACCGGAGATCCTGAATGTTTGCGGAGTGTGGCAATGTAGCAATGTAGTAAATAAATCTCAGTTTTGCTTACATTCTTACACAGTTACAGACTATGTCCTCAGCCTAAAGGCTCTGCTGACTTACAATCACCAGTCAAGGCCTTTGGCTTACTGGAGTAAGGGACTGGAGCAACTCCAAAAACTTCTGCCACACTGAATTTTGGAAGGGAAGGCAGAAATAAAAATAAAAATAAATGGCAATTAAAGCATCAGGCATTCATTCCAAAAGCATCTTCCGCAGAATTCTATGCGATTTGCTGCCAGGTAGATAACCCAGCCTCAGAGGGAGAGTGGTTTTTCAGAGAAGGGGTCAGGTGGTAGAAGAAAGAAATCTCAGATGAAAACCAGAACGTTTGGCTCAGGATGTTAGCCAGACGGGGGAACGTCAGTAGAAGTTCAGGTTTCCACATGAACATTGGTTTCACCTGCCTTATCGTACCCCATTTTTCCCGTTTTTCGCATCAGAAATGAGGATGACATCGTGGAGATGACGAAATCATGGAAGCCAGCTAAGATGAGGTCACTCCCCCTGTCCCAGGGATGCTAATCACCCATGCCATGACGTCATGGCACACTTTTCTTAGTACACGTCCTTTGCATGACCAAGTCACCATGCGCGTGCTGTCCTTGTGGCTTGTAAGGGATGCCTGGGCCTTCCGACTGCCACTGTGGGTAGAGAGGTGCCCAGCCCCTTTGCTGCCCGCCACAACGGGGCCTGAGAGTTGTCCAAGCCTGCTGCATGTTGCTGGCCTCGGGCCTAGTGGGAACGTTTGGGCCACTCCGACGGCACCGTCTCATCTCTCGCTCAGAATTAAATCAGGACCTCCGAGATCCGCTGCCGCAGCCGCCTGAAAAGAAGAAGGTGCAGATCGTTTTTCCAGAAAAGGGGATATCTTCAGTCTCCTTTAAACAAGTTTCTCCCCAGAGCTCGACAGCATCTACTTCTCCAAAGGCGAAAGGTAAGGATTTACAGGTACGGCCTGCATTAGCGATGCGGCGAACGTGACCCGTCAAGCTAGTAGCGACGGTTGGATCGCAAACTCTCATTCTGCCTCGCAGATCTGAAGAGCAAAGCGATGCCCCATTAAGCCCTTTTACTTATCTCATCCCTGGGCTTTCGTCACCTGCACTTCATCCCTGTTCAGCCTATGCTCTGCTTTTAATATTTCTCCCTTCTATTCGCCCTTCTGCTGAAGAACTCAGCAGTATGCCTAGGCAATTTTTTTTTTTTTAAAAGCAAACCTTTTCCGTAGGAATCAGATGAAAGCAACGACCGACTGAAGTTCACTGTTTGAGCTTCGTGGCTGTTCTGCATCCTCCTCTACACTGTAGGAGCTTGATTTAGGCCTGAAAATCATTATTGAAAAATGTTATTGAACAATAAGTATTGAAAAATACTGAATGGGGAGTAGTTAATTATACTGAAGGTAATACGGGTAGTCCCCAGTCTAAGAACGAGTTCCATTCCCAAGGTTTGTCCTTAAGTCGAATTTGTACGTAAGCCAGAACAGTGTTATTGTATGGAGTATTCAACTCAAAATGAGTATTATTACTGTACAAATAGTATGGTGTAATGAACTTGAACCCTTGTGGATTCAACTCAAATCATTGTGTATTTAACTTGAGTCTTGTTATACTAGGCTCTGTTCTTAACTATGGATCGATTGTAACCTGGGCATTCTTAACCCAGGGACTACCTGCACTTAAGTACCACTGTTCAAAGCACCTGTATATTCTAATTTTATATTTTATTTTATTATTTTATTTTTTAATTTCTTATAGCTGCCCACTCGAGCAGACTCTGGGCAGCTTACAAAATCAAAACACAGTAAAAACAGTTTAAAACACAGCCCAGACCAAAATAATCATTGCAGTAACAGCAAACCACAACAGGAGCCCCACAAGTACATATAGCCCCAGGCCGGGGCTAAAGCCAAGTCTTAATATATGTTGTAGTGTATATTCTTGCGTTATGATAAACATCTGGCTTTTCTGACAGGCCAGGGCAATCTCTGACTTCGCATGAGCGATGCAATCTTTTAAATCTTTTTGCATTTCCCTGAGGCGGTAGGGTGTTTCTGATTCCTTTTGGCTTCCTACAATTTGGTTTAAGGTGCTTATTAACCATACAAAATGAATGAATGAATGAATGAATGAATGAATGAATGAATGAATGAATGAATGAGGCCTTCTGAGGTAGGTAAGTGTTAATATCCCTGCATTTGAGATTGGAGGTAGGATGGGGGGCTACGTTAGTGATTCCTTGGCAGAGGTGAGATTCAAGTCAGATCCTTCTTAGCGCCTCGGTTGGTATAACATCTTCCACGGAGATTCATGGGTCTGTTACTGAAAGAAGATGGCCGTGGCTTCTTAACGCCTGTCAGTCGTTCAAGGTGGACCAGACTAGGAAATCAAAATCATGTACGCTAATACTGCTTTTATTATAGGGTTACAGTAACAGAAGCTTGCAAGTCTGAATGCACCTCCCCCTGCCTTCCTTTATCTTTGTGAGAACTAGGGAAGGTCAAGTCTGAGACGCTTTCTCAGGTTACAGTTCTGCTCTGGACTCAGATTTCTCTTTATTTGACCGTTGGCTTAGTTGTGGGTCTTCCTCCTGTTCCTCAAGGTTGTTCTCACAGCCCATTGCAATGCCCAGCCTATTTGCTGCAGAAAATATCTTTTACTGAGGAATCTCACCTGCTTTCCTCTCTGTCAGAGCAAGCTAAGTAACAGGAGGAGTAAGATGGACACTAGGATAGTAGTTAAGGTTGACATAGGCAATACTGGAATAATGGGTGGGGAATTCCACAGTCCTGGATCTCTTCAGGGGCCTCAAGACCTTTCTTGGGCAGCTGGGTTTTGTTGAATAGAAACATTTGTGCTCTTGATGCCCTGGGCTACTGGTCAAAATAAGCAGAAGTCATCTCTCCTTGTGAAGCAAAGGTGGCTACGCGATCACCAAAGAAGGACAAATGTACTTGCGTGAAACTTCTCCCGGAGCGTGAAATCTTGACAGACCTGAACAAGAAGGAGTGGATACTTGGGAAGCTTCTGAGCAACACCGACCATGGGCTGATGTATGAAGGTATTCTGTGTGATCACATGTTGGGGAGACAATATTCAATTTGGTGTTCAGTTTTTCTGAAGATGAACCTGTGTGGAAAATGATAGATCTGCTTCATGGATGAATCATACCCTTTGGGGGACTTTATGATTTCAAGTGTATTTGTGTATTATTTCTATTGGTGTTACACTTTCAGTATTGATTATTATTGAAGTGTTGAGCTTTCCTTTTTTTAACATCAATACCCCAAACAGCTCACCATCCAACGTTCGTGCAACCAGAACGTTGATATAAAATTAAATCAAACAGCAGCAGAAACGGAAGAGTAAGGGAAGCATTGCAGTCAGGCCACCTTTATTCCCCACGGGAAGCTAAATGCTCTGACCCTAAACCTTCAGTTTTACAATCAGTTCTTTTGATTCCAATTCAGTTTCCCCTTTTTGCAATCAGAATTTCTTTTATTGATGTCACAGAATTTTATGACCCTTCAGTCGATACGAATCTAAGCAGCATACAACAAAGCAACGTAACGGTGACAATCAGCATAAAGTAATGCAAAAGTAATACAAATAGCATTCCAGCAACAAAAAGTATCTTGGACCCTCATTAATACTGTTATATTCTCACCATGCTGCTGTTCATACGTAAATGGGTGGGTGGGTGGGTGGATGGATGGATGAATAGATGGATGATAGATGGATGAATAGATAGATTAATAGATAGATGGATGAATAGATAAATGGATGGATGGATGGATGGATGGATGGATGGATGGATGGATGGATGGATGGGTGAATGGATGGATGGATGGATGGATGGATGGATGGATGGATGGATAGATAGAATCTTTCAATACAATAAAGGTATTTAAAAATAAATGAGAAAAAAACACACAGTTATGCCTTCTGCCCTTCTTTCTATCGAGTAATTACCATCTTACTCTTTTCTCCATCTTCTTTGGCCCTTTTTAATCCCCAGATCCAGAAATCGATCTGATCTTTTCTTCTTTCCACAAAATTCCATATAAGGCTTTCTTATTAAAAAGTTATCGTTTTTTCCCTGACCAAATTGGTCAGCTTCGCCATTTCTACAAGTTCAGTTAGTTTTATAATCCAGTCTTTAAAATAAGATGAAGGTGTATGCAGAAATATTGTCAATATTTCCAGTTTTTCCAAGGGAAGTGAAACTGTTAAGCTCTGTTAGGCCCTGCATATTTAAGGGCCTAAATGTATCTCTCTTGCATTCCCTATCAATTTGTCGTTTTATTTTTTCACAGCAAGATCAACATCTGAAGTTTGTTCACCGAAGCAGAAATACACCCTCAAACTGGTGAGTTCAAGTCTCCAGGTTAGAAGTAATGTAGAGCATTTCCATATACCAGAACTGAATTTTCAGCTTGCTAAAGAAAGGAGAGCTCACATTCATGCTTGTTGCTGTCATTGACCAATGTTTTATACACATCTAAAATTTTAAAAATACCAAGAAAATTGAGAACCATAGGAAAAGATAAGAAATGCATAAAAAGTAGGAGAGATTTGCTTTGTCGTACTTTAACTTGTCAAGTCCCAGGAATCAATTGAATTGCATCTAACCCAAGAGACTGAGGCAGATTTAGGGCAGGGAAAGGGTACAATCCAAGGAATCCTGCAAATCCCAAACTGTCTGTTCTGAGTCTGATAGCGTCAGGCCCAGCCCAAGAACAACGGTGAAACAGTCTGGTTGAGTTCAGCTCCTTTATTTGCTTACACCTTATAGATAGAATCTTGCCAGACGAAATCTGTACTACTCTAACCTAGTGGATATACCCTGGGAGATTCTAGGGAGTGGCTATCCTGAACCCCTTACGCTTCCCACGCTCCTGCTCTGGACTGTGTTGTCTTTTGTCTCCTTGCCCTTCCTTGAATGCACTCCCTCCTTCCTGAGAATCTCTGTTGCTATCCATCACATTACCCTCCTCTTCGTAGATATATTCCATCGCAGATAGGAAGGTCTCTTGACACAAATTAAGTCAATGATGTCATGCCATTGAATAGCCTTGTCCCCAACATGGTCCCTTTTCACTGTACTGAATTTCATTGGTGTTTAGGCTGGGAATTCTGGAATTGAATCCAAGCTATTTGGAAAACAAACTTTGAGGAATGCAGGCGAGGATTTCTTTGGTTGCTGGACTCAGATTAGTACCTAAATTTGATTTTTTTTTTCCTGTTGGAAGAATTGGAAAACCTTGGTTGTACTTGAGCAGCCACTGAAGCAAATAAAGCTACTTTCTTTTTTTTCTTAATATATAAAAGTTATTAAAAGTTTTTAAAAGAAGATAAAAACTAATACAAAGAAAAGAAAGGAAAAAAAGAAAAAGACAAACGTGCAAAAAGAAAAGATAAAAAGAAATAGAAATAAGAAGCTTCTGATTTCCTTTGCAGCAAACAGAAGTATGATTACAAAATTACAAAAAAAGCTCTTTTTTCCTATTATCTAATGTTTGCTAATCATCAAAACCGCAAATCAAAAGTTCATATTTTTTCTGTTTCATGGAAAAAGTCTGTCAAGGGTTTCCAGTCAGCAATAAACATAGATATTCTCTTTTCTCTAATCAAATAAATCAATTTAACCATCTCTGCAAGTTCCATCATCTTCACCAACCATTCCTCCATTGTGGGTAGTGCTGAACCTTTCCACTTTTGAGCATATAATAATCTCACTGCTGTTATCATGTATAAAAACAAAGTTCCATGACTTTTTTCCAGCTGTTGATCCATTAGTCCCAAAAGAAAAAACCTCTGGTTTCAATTCTACATTAGTCTTTAAAACCTTGTGAATTCAGCTCTACTTTGGAAGGGCTCCAATCCTTGATTGTTCTCTGTTTCTGGGAATGACTTTCTGCTGTGGACATTATCTCTGTTTTCCTTTTGGAATATTAAAAAATATATATATTAGTGTCCCGTATGATTTCCTCTATGTTGAGTTCTTTATAATCCAACATTTGCTTTTGTCTTTCCATCAACTGAAGTTTGCATGTTTTGTCTTTTAAAAAATTGTCTCCGGTTATCAGGGACTTAAGGAGCAAAAAAGGAAGAATTTGGAATTTTGCAAACTGCTCACTTAAATAATGCATATAGCACATAGAAGCTTTGATGTTTTGGTAAGAAGGCATGGTATCTTCTAGAGCAGTGTTTCTCAAACTTGGCAACTTTAAGATGTGTGGACTTCAACTCCCAGAATTCCCCAGCCAGCACACTGAATTCTAGTTCACCCATGCTGCCTGGGGAATTCTGAGAGTTGAAGTCCACACATCTTAAAGTTGCCAAGTTTGAGGAACACTGCTCTAGAGAATGGGAGAAGTCAAGGACTTCTCAAGGAGAAGTCAAGGCACCAGAAGTATAGTAGAAGGCAGCCAGCATGGCAGAGTGGTTAGGGATTAGAGCTGAGAAGAACCAGGTTCAGCTCCACTTTCAGCCATGGAAGCTCAGTGAGTTATGTTGGACCAGTCACTCTCCACCTCAATCTCCACCTCACAGTGGAGAAAAAGTGGACGCAAGAGTGCTATGTATGCCTCCTAGAAGCAAGGTGAAATATAAATCTAACAAATAAAGAACCAAATAAGGGCAAGTGCCCAACCCTTTGCTCACCAGCAAACCTGCCTGAGGTTTCAGCATTCACAATTTATGCATTTTTAGAGTAGTTTTTATTAAAAGATTTAACGTATATAATAAATACATTCAAAGAAAAAAATATAGTAAATGTGAAAAAGGAAAAGGAAAAGAGACAAAGAAAAAAGGAGGTAGAAAAAAAATAAAAGAACAGAAAGCATGAAAAAAATATATAAAGAAGTGGCTTTCAATCTTCCTCTCGGCAGTTATACATGCAATTCTAATCTAACCTCTCTAAGATTACATTATAATTCCCTTCTTTCTGTAACCTATTCTTATCATCAAAATCATAAGTCACAAAATCATTTTCTTTCTTATGCCAAAAGTCCATAAGCGGGTTCCAGTCATTGATGAACATCAATAATGACCTTTCTCTAATCCAAAAGTCAGTCTGTCCATCTCAGCAAGTTCTGTCAATTCCTCCATGGTGGGTAATGCCGAATCTTTCCATCTTTGTGCATCTAATAATCTCACCACAGTAATCATATATTGAAATAACTTTCCATGAACAATTTATACATTTTAAAATTTTGTTCCGGGCTATAAAACGTTGCCCTTTTCACTATAGGGAGAAATTCTATACCTGATAATTAGCGCAGTTCGAATGTTTTCTGGATCTGCTTTAGGAGTCTACACAGATCCCTCTTCCACCTTCCAAAGATCAGCAACTTCACTTGCCTCTAAGACGTTTGAGAAGCTATACAGACGTCGTCCCATTTCTGTACTTGCCTAAGAGATGGCACTAAGTCAGCAGAAAGAACTTCAGTCCTGCCTATTGTCTTTTTTTCCTCAGGATGCTAAAGATGGGAGGCTGTTTAATGAACAGAACTTTCTTCAGCGAGCCGCCAAGAAAGTCACAGGTAAAAAAAAAAAAAGTTGGAGGGCTCATCCAGCCCTCTCAGTGGTTCTCAGGGGCACGAACTCATGACACCATCTTCAACCTTCTCCTGGCCCACCATGAAGGCAGTCTCCAGTCTGTTCTTGTTCTGCTTCAAAAGTGGGGCGGTTTGGGGGTTAACCTCTGCCAGCACAAGCTGTGCTGAGTATCAGTCTGCAGCAAACCATTCCAAGGTGAATTTAGGGGCAGGATTTGCCCTATCTGCCTGTGCCCCCCACCTACCCCCAGTCCTTAGCCACGGATTTTCAGGGCTATTCAACTTTCTGGCAGTGAGAGAATCCAGATTCTTCTCCAGTGTCATAAAGCCATTTCTTCTCTCACCCGTGAGCAGGACTGACTTATCCACTAGACACAATAGACTATTGTGTCTAGACACAACCTAGGGCCCACAATCTTTTGTTGTCGCTTTTAATCAGGAAGACTAACAGTGAGGGAGAAGTATTTATTTTCATGCCTTGCCTTTCCGCCCTGAAAATACACACAATGAATAGAATGCAGATCCATCATAATTAATTGGCAACAACTGATCATTATTGCAAGATGATACATAGGTAATTTGCCATTCCCAATTTCTCTGCAAAACTATGAAGAAAATCATATGAAATACAATTTTGAAGGCTCTTGTTTTGATGGAGGGAGGGGCCCACGAGGGCACAAGTCATCATGCAGCCTTGCCTGTGAGAATAAGTGGTAGGGAAAGGAGACGTTTGTCTTTCGGGGGCTAATTCTGTTGCCCCCAAAAGACTCACTTCCCCCAGAAGAGCTGGTGCCCCACTTTCCTTCCCAAAGGAAGCCCCCCCCCCCCACTCCCCACAGCTTAGGTGGTGTAGCACAGGGGGTTGATTTAAACATGTGCCCAGCAGGCTTGCAAAGAAAACTCTTCATGTTCTGTCTGGTTTTAATCCTCGAAGGGAATATGTCAGTACTTGTGTGTTTCTCTGCATGAGAGAACGATGGGCATAGGCCAGTGGGGGATCAGTTCATTTTATCAGTCAGGCATTTGTCATGCAAACCATTATTTTTAATGGGTATTAATCAGTGATTACTAATTTTTTTAAAACTCTGCTGCCCTTTCTGGAGTATGGTTTCTGGCAGGCATATATCCTTCTGTGCAGATGGACACGTGTATTTATTATTGCAGGGGGAAGGGGGAATGTCCAGGATTGGATCCAGCTGCATTTGGCAAGCTATGTGGCCATGCTATTGTCCCTCTGACTTTGTAGGCCCCAATTTTCCCTTCTGTTTTAGTTGGAGATGCTCTGTTGTTATAATGGTATGTGGGAAAGGCCTTGGGAGACAGAGTGAAGAGATGCTGCCAAGGGAATGATCAGGTAAGAGAAGGCATAACCCGCAGTTGTATAATGGGCAGGGCAAGAAGCTCAGAAGGGACCCTCCCTAGTTTCTTGGGCTGTAGAGGAGATGGAGGGAGAATTGATTGATGTCCATCTTACTAGATAGACCAGACAGGAAACACGACCAGATGCCCAAGAAATTAGTGGGGGTGTCTTCTGAGCCTCTTGTCCCACCCACTATGCAGCTGCAGGCTATGCTGTTTCTTATCTGGTGGTTCCCTTGATAAGCATCTCTTGGGCCCGTCTCCCAAAGGTTTTCCCACATACCATTACAGTTGTAGAAGTGAAGTTGGTTGATTTTGATTACAAAAGAATATCAGAGGCTTCTCTCCCTTCTGCTGGGAACTTTACTTTTGATGGTTCAAATGGTTGAGTTGTGGGATATTAACTGGGGGGGAGGGCAGTCCAAGCTGCTGAAGGGACATAACCCTCTCATACTTTTTCTGCAATCCGAGTTAAATCTCCTTTGCTCCTGCAGTTATGTGTCTCCATCTTGATTCCCTTTAAAAATCTGTCTCCAAAAAAAGCAGCAGTCCAGGTTGGGAAATTGGGTATAACCCAAGACTTTTGTTTGTGTTTGCATTTATTTTTTCTGTCTATTTTTCTCGGAGGCACAGGTAGGAAATAGGTCATCTTAAATTCAGGGCCAGCTTCCAAGTCACCTTGGAACTAAATGGCCTACATTTGTCCCATCTGATCTCTCCCTGCAGTGGAGAAATGGAAGAAGCAATATTTTAAGCCATTCCTGGGGATTCCTGAATGCGTTGGCTTTGGCCTCCATGGGAGTACTTACAGGTGAGTCCCTATGATAAAGGATTTTGATTTCTGCTCTCCTCCCATCTCATGCCAATCCTGTACATCCTCCACTTTTTGCCCCATGGCTGAAGCCCTTCGTCTGTGACCATTCCTCGCATGGCATGTTGACTTGAATAGATCTGGGTTGCCCCCCAACCCATTTTGTATTTAGTCTTTTTGTTCCTGTTACCATGCTTCCTGATTTGCACACTTCTATACTTCGAAGGAATACTGAATTTTGAACCTATGACCTCCAGGAGAGAGGATGTTCTGGGAAGTCTAGAAGGATAGGGCAAGTCCCTGGAAATAAGTGACTAACCTCCCTAATTCCTAGTGGGTTTTACCAGCAGATGGACCAAGAGTTGATGCAAACTGTGATGGGAGGCCCAATTCACATGCAACATTATCTCCTTTGACTGGCAGGTTCCTGGTTTTTCCTGATTTGGGTCGATCCCTTCAATCAATTCTGGATGACGGTGGAAACAAGATGACGGAAAAGGCTGCTTTGCAGCTTGCAGTCAGGCTGGTATGGGATACTAGGAAGGCACAGGGTGGGGGAGGAATTTCTCTAATGGGAAGAAGGAGTGGCCTTAAAGGACAGGAGGAAGAGCCTCTTCTAAGGCAATGGTTGGATAAAAGAAACTTGAGTCCAGAGCTAAACTGTAACCCGAGAAAGCGTTTCAGACATGATCCTCCCTAGTTCTCATGAATGTAAAGGGAGGGAGGGGGGAGTCGCATTCAGACTTGCAAGATTTTGTTACCACAACTTTATAATAAAAATAGTATTAGCTTGTGTGACTTTGGTTTCCTAGTCTGGTCTGCTTTGGAGGGCTGACAATTTCTCACAAAGTTCTCTTGATTCAGGTCAGGTAGAAAGGAAGGTGTTTCATTTACTTCCATTTTAGGAGGCCCACCCCAATCTACAGATTCAGCAGCATCATAATGTAAATCGAAAAGGGTGAGAAACAGAAAAGCTGGAATGTTGAGAAAGGGCCCCACCCCCAGATGCACACCACAAAACGGTCCTCTGGGCTCGAAAGCAGGGCAGAACAATGTTATTTGGATCATCTTCTGAAAGGCTAGAAGGGAAGGGATCCAAGGATCTCCAGAACATGGAAGCCCCAACCAGAAAGCTCTGCTTTCTGCTTCCAGGGCTGATGACGGTTTGCTGCTGCAACAAGGAGGTCTTAGACACAAATCCCATCCCTTCCTTTTATTGCTCAGAGCATTTTCCCCCAAAGAGGCATTTTGCAGGACTGATCCAGCCTTTAGGTTAATATTTGATGGAGAAGGGGAGCTCTGCAGTTCACATTGCTTGTAGTTGTGTCATCCCACTCGAAGACATTGTACCCAACTGCCCCAGGAAGCAGGATTGTTAATCAGAGCCTCAGATTCTTCACAAACCAGGACTTGACCATGGGCTGTGATCCTGGTGGAGCTGTCCTTCACCCCCAGGTGCCCTTCAGCTCCAATCATGTTTAAGCAAGTAATGGGTGGACCATCCAAAGATTTGCCATATCCATGTTGGGTATTGTAACAGGCATATGGCAAAGCCTTCTCCCACCCCCACCTCGCTATTTCCCACCTATGGAGACTATTCCGGGATCAGTAGTCCTACAAAATGGGAATTTCCATCACTGACCCTTCGTGTCTGCCTTTATCTTTGCCTTAGGTTGACGTTCTGGAGTACCTTCATGAGAACGAATACACTCACGGGAATGTGGCTGCTGAAAACATATATGTGAACCCAGCTGATCTTACTGTGGTAAGGCAAGGAGCAGAGGGCAGGAGAACAAGACAGTGTTTCTAATCAGGTTGTAGAGAAGTACAGAAATGGCCTTGAAGAAAAACTGCCATTACAAAAACATCAGCTTAGCCCAGAAAGACCAGAGCGGGTGAGGAAGAAACTCAAGACTGACCCACCTTGACTCTCTTTGGTATGAGAGGGAGGGATGGCAAAACACTGTCAAGCTTTTAAGATTCTGTTATTGTAACTTTAACAATAGAGTTCTAATATTCCTTGTGGTGTCTGCTTTCTAACCTGGTCTACCTTGAAGGGTTGATTCCGCTTTCCCAAGGCAGATAAACCAGATTTCCACTGATTACACAATTATTTTACACCTCTAAAAGTTGTTTTACTCTCCTGCCAACCAACACTGGCTATTATTAATTGTACAACAAGTGCTTATTAGGGAGAAATGAATTTCCTCCTTCATGAAGGAAACTGCTAAAAATGTGACGCACTGCCTTCATGGTCTTCCTCTGTCATCCCTGGAAGGAATCATTTGGGGAATGGTTTCCATGGTCACAAGTGCTGGTTAAACTGGTTCTGACTTTCATGCCTTCTTGGCTGTCCAGATTGAGGCCTTAGGGCTATTGCTAAGGCCACAGATGAACTGGACTTGCCAGCTGGTATGGGCTGGTAACTCTCTGCCTTTTCTTGCAAGAGAAATAGCTTGTTTGGTGTTCTTCTGCTTTTCCCCCTTCACATCCTTCAGGTTACTTTAGCAGATTATAGCTTTGCCTTTCGATACAGCCCTGGGGGAAAACACGTGCCTCAGCGGGACGACAGTCGGACGCCTCATGAAGGCAACTTGGAGTTCATCAGCCTGGACAACCATAGGGGAGCTGGTGAGATCGTATGCCTTAGGAATAGAGGGTCACCAAACACCAAGCCATTATTTTTAACCTTCATCTGGCTCTTGACATGTTCCCCTGAACCCTGGATAATATTTATCCAAGATCTGGCCCCTTCTTAGTCTGCTAGCTGATCCTGTGATCTCCAGAACGTCTCCTTTATTCAGATAGATAAGGGGATGGATTAACTGTGGCTCTGGTGTGTGATTATCATGCAATGAAAGGAAGTGTGAAAAATTGGCCTTCTGTCCCACAAAATGATGGTGACTTCTCAGCTGCTTTGTGAACGTGGCGTAGAAGCTCTCTAAAACATGGAAGAGCTTCATTAATTGTTTAGATATGTTAAGACAGATCAGCTTTGGAAATATTGGGAAACCGAGCCTCCCGTTAAAATGGTAGCTTATTGATGAGTGACTTTACTATATTCCCATCTCCATTTCCGTGGGGTGATAAGTATGGAAATCTGCTTCCAGTATTTCTTATGTGGATCTGCTTGTTCCTTAACAGCGCCTTCCCGTCGGAGTGACCTTGAATCCTTGGGTTACTGTCTGGTGAAGTGGCTACGTGGTATCCTTCCCTGGTCTACAATGCTGACAGATCCCTGCTTGGTCATGGAGAAAAAAGAGAGGTGTGTGCATTTGCACACCTTTGTTGGGTGCAGAACAACGTTCAGCTTCTCCCTGGTCTTAGGAAAAGGAAATGCGATATTTCAGCTACTACCAGCAAAGGCTGCAGTCGCTACTGAGTGTTGATAATAGGATCCTACCCTTCCCGCATGCGGGTTTCATGCTTCCTTATTTTTCATCCTGGACACAAAAACTCCCTGCTGCCAACAGATAAAAATTTGGGAACAACTTGTTGACAAGGGTCAAATGTCACTCATTCAAAGATCAGGCAGGCCTTGGCTTTGGGGCATTAAACCTAGTGTTCAAAAGGTAGGAGTTGAATCCCAGGATAGCAGTGGTGAGAAAGCAGATTTCAGCTCACCTCCTAACATCAGAGATGCTGAGGTTGCCCCTTTGCCAGTCATGTTAAAGCAGACACTGGACAGTTATCTCTCAGAAATACTACAGTTGTATCCTGAATTAGGGATCTTCCATCAGGCAAGTCTTCCAGCTCCCATCAGGCAGGTCTTCCAGAATTGGACAGTGTTGGGATTCGTTGTCTTTCTTGCAGGCAGGCAGCGGGGTGTGTGGGCTATGTTGTCAATGCACAATTCTCATCTCAGCTGTACTTCTCATGTTTAAGAGGTTCATCTTGTCTGTCACTGCAATTGTAGGTGCAGAGCAGATGTGATCAAGCGTCCAAGACAGCCCTGTGGTTGGGGAGCCATGCCAGGTACGGGCTGGTTGAATTGTTCTCATTTTAGTACCCTAGTTTTGAGATCTACTTGTGGGGTTACTTCATAGTTGTCCTCCCAACAGCTCTCCTGAGTTGTTTTGGATGAGAAATATTGACCATGACTTTGCATGGCCAGTTCTTTGACCTGTGGTGCCAGTGTAAAGCTGTGTTTCTCAACCTTGGCAATGTTAAGATGTGTGGACTTCAACTCCCAGAATTCTCCAGCCAGCAGAATCATGATCTCTAACCCCAAAGGGGAGCAGCAGCTCTGGGCCAAGCTTGTGGTCCCGTGGGACCCTTTTTCTCAGGGAAGAGAAAGGTTGGGCTGTGGGGAAAGCCCTGGGCTCTGCTGCTGAAAAAGAGAGAGGGGCTTGAAGGCAGGAGAAGCCGTGGGTTGAATGTTCCTTGACTTTTCCAGGCTTTTCATCGGGGGAAGAAGGGCAGCATTTGCAACAGTTCTTGACTTTGTGAACGAAAAACCAGTAGGATCTTGACTTCTGTCTCTCTGTAATAACTGAGTTCTGAGTTCTGTTCTAGGATTCTTCTTTGATTTTTGTTTAACCTGCATTTTCACTGCAGTTTTAAAATTGCTCACCTTCTTATGGGAAAACCTAGACCGTGTGGCCAATGGTGAAGGGTGCTGTTGGGAAATGTCTAGATGGCCCTACAGTTTCCCTTTCCCTGGGTCTACAGCAGTGTTCCTCAACCTTGGCAACTTTAAGAGCTGTGGACTTCAACTCCTAGAATTCCCCATGGCTGGCTGGGGAATTCTAGGAGTTGAA